AATGCGTTTTCTGTCTTTTAAATCGTGCTCTATCGGTTGTACGCTAGCCCAAAGGAATTATTGAACCTTATAGTGATCATTTTAGAGATCACGGCATCTGAACGAATGACACAATACCAACCCCTGAGTGGCGTTGGCCTGATTGAAGCCGTTTCTGGCCTTCCTAAACCTCGCTTTCTGGTAACGGGGAGCAAGCTCGTCTGATAACACCACTAAGCTTGCCGCCTTTGCACTCTTCTCGGAGTGCACTGGCCCTTCGACTGCGGCCACACGCCTCCCAGAGGTGCCCCACTTGGCGAGAGGTTCCCAAAGCCGTCGTCATCCACAGGCTCGCCGGCCGCAGCCAGCCCACAGCCGTGTCAGCCAAATCGAGCCTAGTTTCGGACATGGTATTTATTGCAGCCCAGAGCGGGGACGTTGTGTGGCATTGCAGGACATCGCTGACGGAGGCAGGTACAGACGATTCAGCAGCGTGGACAGTTATCCGTGTTAGCCATAGCGACCGTAGCCGTAGCTGCCATAGTTGCCCCTGTAGCCACCGTAGCCTCCACGGCTGTAGCCGCGGTATCCGCCATAGCCACGACTGTAGCCGCGGTATCCGCCATAGCCGCCTCTAAAGCCGCGGCCGTATCCGCGGCCGGCCGCGACGACTGCTACCATCGCGACGAGAAGCACCAGCTGCAAAGGACAGACGCGCGGGTGAGCGCGTGACATGGCGGCGGAGGACGGCTGAGCAATGGTCGGAACCTCCGCAATGGTGATCAGAGCTCTGCGCCTCGCTACTGGCGCTTGTGAGGGGGGGGGGGGAGGTGAGAATGGTGTCCGGATAAGCACGGTGATGTCTGAGCGCTGACGTATGATCTAATGCTCCAAAGGTCCAAGTTAGGGAGCGGGGTGCAGTTTGACGCAGGCGTTGGCATTGCAGAGTCTCATTTATCCATATATTACATATAATACATTACATGTCAGTGTACACTGTTAAGCCCGATGACAACAACGGTCACATGAAGTTTGGTCTGGTTTGAACTGAGCGTCACAGAGATGGCCGCAAACTCAAGTTGGTTATCACAGTCCTGAGTGGTTGGTCGCTAAAATGGAGATCATGATTCGTGAAGCGATTTGGTCAATGTGTCACAGTTGAAAGCGCCCAGAGGACACACTGAAGGTTGGTTGCTGTTTGCGGTTTGCGGCCCTTGTGTGCAGCCATCAGCTAAGCTGTGCCCCTCTGTGCAGTCGTCCGCTCAGCTTTGCCCCCTGTGTGTATACGTTCGCTCAGCTGTGACCGTTGCGTGCAATCGTCTGCCGGGCTAAAGTCATGTTCAAAACCAGATGTTCGCGACGACTGCGCCAACCAAGGTGAGACAGCTTTTGGGCGGGCAAAAACGGACTTAAACTATCGAAGTACAAGTGGAAGAAGGCACATTGTGCGCAAAACGCAGTCTTACTGGCTGACAAACAAACCCAACACACGCTTCAGGTGGCTACGGCAGGCATCCAAGCACACTTAGTAAGAGTACCAGTCCCGCTTGGTAGATTATGCAGGACATACTTCAGACCACAAAGAAGGCCTCATGAATTCGAGAGTCACCAAGTTTTTCTTACTGAATGCGATTACTTATGACCTCCAAGAGGTCAGGTCGTCAAGGCTAAGACATGTGCATTTGATCCCAATGGAAGCGTGCTTTTCACAGCCGGACAGGCAGACTCCGTCACCTCGCGAGATCACTTACCAGCAACTTGAAGTTCATCACTGCAGCTTGCGAGACGGACACGGGCTGTAGCAGGAACCGATGTGAAGATACCGTCCTTCTTCCAAGCGGTCTTTTATACGGAGGAGACCCGCTCCGCGACCTTCACGCACGCTGGCTACAGAGGGCGCCTCGCGCTACCATTGGTCGGCGGAGAGAGGCGGGACGCGAATGCCCCGGGGGCCGAAAACCGGACGCGCGGTGCTCTGAGGGTCCGCGGCGGGGTGTTTTGCGGCGGCGCCTCCCGCGCGCGGCTGCGGAGGCCCTGTTCCAGGGAGCTAGAATCGCTTCTGGACGAGAGTGGGAATGAAAAATTCCATCGCAAAAAGACCATGCGGGAGTGAAAAAAATCGATTAAAAAAGAGGGAACTTATGAGCTCGTGACTGATGCTTCAGCAAACAAAGACATCTATTTCAAGTTGGCATGGACGTAATATCAGTGTCCTGACAAAACTATTTGGTTTTTTGAACATCCTAGGCCATTAATGTGAAACAGAATACATTAAAGCATAGTAATTTTATGGCAGTGTAATAAACATAACAAATTGTTAACACCAATAATTTTGCACCGCACTTTGCACTTCCCTTCCACAGCACTTTTAATACAAAACAAAGCACAGTAATTTGACAATAAAATATGAACAGAAAATTCAACAAGCATGAAACGCTCAAACAAAAAAACCTTTGACTCATACACACCAGCCCATCACCAAGTCAAACACAATAGACATACCTCTGGCTGCTGTCAAAATGGGATCAGGGAAAACAAACATTTTGTCACTGTTTCTTACAAAATACCAATGCTTATTTCCATGAAAGTAGCCAACTATGCCTGACCTAAAAAGGCCTTACTTCGCCTCATCCTGTCTTACCTGTTTGCATCACAGCAGCAGTTATGAGTTACTGACTCTTGCGCAATTCCTATTCCAATTTTCCATGCACTTAACCAACTTAACCTAACTTAGAGTAGCCCATATGATGAACATCACCTCAACTCACCTACCTGTTGACAGCAGCACTTGTGATAAAACGTGATAAAGCTAAATTTTGGCTGGTTTTAACCTGCATTTTTATTCAGCTCATTTGTGTATGCTTGTTCACATCAGACAAAGTTGACAACACACAAATCAAAACACTTTAAATTACTTTGAACGACTCATTCTGATTGTCATGGTTAACCTCTGTCAAGGGCAATAATGGGTATGCTCCACAAAACAATCGCCCTTATCCAAAAGTAATATAACTTTTAGATGACCATGCCAGTATTGCTGCTTGCCTTTTCAGCTGTAGCAAAGGCATCTATTTAGGCTTGTTAATTCATGTTTAATGACATAGTTTGAGATGTTGACTTCACATTTTATATGAGATCGTCTGACTATTTGCTTAACGCTGATATTTACCTCATGCTATAATTGCTATGCAGCTTGGAGTATCCCAGTGTTAAAAATGTAGGGCTAACGACACTATGGAAAACATCGGGTTAAAGCAGCCATAAGGGACCACTTCAAGAAATTTGGGACAAATAATAAAGAATATGGAACAAAATAAGCCAATTGCACGCCTTCAAGTCATCATAATTCATCTTAGGTAAAACTCGATGGATTAAAACAGAAAATGGCTAACTGGTTACCAATCATGTGTTGAAAGCAGGTGAGGCAAGCAATTATTTGGTCCACAGGAGACTTGCTGGCTTTTTCCTGCTCTCCCCAGCAAAAAGTCAGCATCTTTTGCATGTTCCGCTGGCAGACAGTCATCCCACTCACCCCACAAATATCACTATGAACCATGCCCACCAACCTACGAGATTAAAATGCGAAACAAGTAAGAGGTGTGCATGATAAACATCTCCGGAGGGCAGAACTTCGCCACCAAACACGTCTGCTGCGTCAGGTCTGTCCCAAAGCTCTGTATGGCAGCATTAGGGTAACCTTGCCAGGTAGCCTGGTATTTTTGTACCCTTAGATTTATTTTTATTGAGCACTGCCATGAGCAAAGAAGAACGGTTAACGGAGGGTTTCAGCAGGGCAAACATGGCGGTAGAAATAAGTTCCGTGCCTCAAATTGGTCTCCTTTATTCGCCGTGAATTGTTCGCTCTTGGGTACATATCAAACATGTTTGGGGCGGAATGGCAAATTTATTCAATTATGCATGAAATGCGTATAAGTTGTGAGTTGGAGCATCTTGCAGAGAAATTAGTCACATTCTAAGCAGCAGATGGCACCTCTAGAAGGCAATCAAAAAAGGAAGGAACAATAAAGTGGTATAAAAACTCGCATGATACTAAGAAAGACAAATTAGTTAAATCTAAAAAGACTGATAAAGACTGACACTTTTCTGGCAAAATTGTTATCAGCTGATTTCACTTAAAATTTGTTGACATGAGTGGTTCAAATGGTGATATTCATCGAGTAGATTTGATTTAAAAGACATTTGTTGAATTTTTCACCTCCTGCATTCGGGAGTGATGCGATTTAGTAGTCAAGTTCCTCGGGAAAAAGACGTACGTGGAGTAAAATTTTCTACCAGGCCTGGTAGAGGCAGGACATAGCCATAGATGTCCAGGTTCTGTGGAGCCTCCTTTATGCTTGGTGGTTTTAAGTGGGCTCGGTTTTCGGTGGCATCTGGAAACATCGGAAGAGGAAATAGGGGTTTGGCATGTGTGATTAGACAATGTCAGGCAGGAGCGGAAAATTCACATAAAACAGGGGAAAAGGAGTGAAAAATTTATCCTCATAGGGTGCTGCTTTACACCCAAAGTCGGCGATTCCAGGACACTGCCCTGTTACAGGCGCCACGCAGCTTGCGCTGAGTGAGACGGATTTCGCCGTCATTTTTGGTGGCGGGACACTGACGCGGACAGAGGTCGTGGTTGCGGTTGAGGCACCCAGGCTCCAGAGCCGGAACTGGTTTCAGGAAAACGGGTTTGGTGCGTGGGGCCGTTGACTAGGCTGCGTGGGTTTTTACGTACGGAGGTGGTGAACATGATATCAAAATATATGTTGGTTACCCCGACTCTTCTAGCTCCGCTGGGTGACGAGAGAAACGCATGACTGTGCGTCTGCGGCTATTCTAGGTGTTGTGGCATGGCGAATGCTAACTAAGCCCCTTGGGCTTCCATGACAGAGAAATAACGCCATCTTGTGGATTGTGTTAGATGGTGCAAATACCTTTGGCGCAGTCTAAGCCGTGGCACATGGCTTAATCAAGTCAGGTCAATCGCTACGGACTTAAAATGCTCGTGTTTGCTTCTTGATTACCAATGCCACCATTGATAATTAAACGTTTCATGCAGACTCTCCAATCTCTATTCAAAGGCGGGCAGCATTATTCTAACGTGGGTAAGAAGAGCACTGGACACGGGATGTAGAAACAAGTGGAAAGCCATGGTGCGAACCAAATTATTTGTCGATAACGACATCACAATTTTCACCGTGATAGGGACCTCTCTGTGATGCGTGAGTTGTGCGAAGATAAGCTTTGCTGCGAGGTAGTAGCCGCCTAATGCAAAGTAAGCCGCGTTTAGAAGCCATGCGGTAGCGAGATTTTGTCTAAACCGCTTCAGTTCGACAAACATATGCACCTTGAAAGTAGCAACAACTTTCAGGAAGGGACCCAATCGGACACAAGAATATATAGATGTTCGTATGAATCTGAATAATCGGTACTTTGCCGATGTCTTATATGCACTTATGAAAATGACAAAAAAACGAACATCTTTAAACCTGTAACTTGTTTAAAAGCCCGCTGTCCATCTGTATGAAATTGAGATGTGGCAGAAACTGAAAAAAACGTGAGTGCCCATTAGCACATTCACCGAACTCAGTTAACGTTGTAATTTGTGACGGTGGTGATCAAAATATCCTAATTGCATCCTGCTCGAGGGACGTAATTAACATACTCGTAGGTCGCACCCCCGCAGACTATGGTGATGTCCTGAGCTCAGCCAACTGTTCGGAAACAAGGTGCGTTTAAGGCCTGCCTTACGGAACCTGCTCCGTTCGCAGCGGGGTACAAGCTGATCTCATAACAACCCACCAAATCATCCCGGCTTTGCACTCTTGTCGGAGTGATCTGGCTCTTCGACTAGAGTCACACGGCTATACCTTAGTGTCTTGTTGTCATGAATGTGATGTGGTACTTTTGGCCCAGCGCGGAGCTGCTGGTGGGGCGCCTGTAGATGATTGGCGCTGCTGGTTCGGCGTGGACCTGCCAGCGTCGTACGTGCAGTTGCCGATTGGCTGTCGGTTCGGCGTACATCTGGCAGGGTGCATGCAGATGTCAGGCGTCTATTGGCTCAGCTCGTTGCCGCCGACAGCGACTCCTAGCAGGCGACTGGCGACATGCTGCACTTGGTGGCCACAACAGCATGGTGGCCAGACGGCGCATCGTAAGCCTGTTTTGTGTTCTGTACAGAGCTCTCCTGCACCTTATGTTCAGGTAGCCTTTAGAAGACCACGCCTTTCCTCCACAGTTCTGAGCATAGGGACTATATGCTACATTTCATGAATGCATTTCCCGTCCTTTAAATCGTGACCTGTTGGTTGCGCGCTCGCCCAAAAAATTATGCAACCTCATAGTGTATACTTCTTGCCAGGCTTGGAAACCACGCAGTCTTCCAAAGCAGCATGGCAGGTTGAGATCACTGACGGCAAGACAGGAACGTACAGAGGCAATGTGTGCAAAGGTCGTGAGAAGGCAAAATCTGCTGGCTACACAGGACCAAAACTTTTGCTTTTGAGTTGTATCCATGCTGAACGCATGGAAAGCATAAGGAGTGGATACGACACGCTTGAGCGAAAATATGCTGTCTGTTCCATTCATTGATGAGCATTACCTAAACTCAAGGTCAGTTAAAATGGATGCTGGCAGTGATGTAGCGTTTACACGCAGTTTTTCGTCGCTCTTCCAAGATCAGTTGCAATACATTACAAGAGGGAACAAAGGAAACGATGTCACACTAGCAGCCTTGAATCCATGTAGTATATCCAAGTCCATGAAGTCTAAGAGATCCGTCAATAACTTAGCGAGGTCCAGGCGCCTCGACACATTACTTCATGGAG